CCCCCCCCCCCCCCCCCCCCCCCCCCCCCCCATTGTGGTCCCGCCCACTGCACACCACTCCACTCTCCATTGCCAGCTGACAGATGCTCAGTGAAGCCCACTCTTATACACAAAACACACTCTGTTTTCACTTGTTGGGGAAATTAAGATTTATTGTAGTGTGGGTTTAAAACATCTCAATCTGTTAATAAGCAAGAAGTGCAGATATTGTTATTGCTTTGATTATTATGCTGTGAGAGGCAGTAAATCCTGTGCTTTAACTACCGAGGGATTTATATTTCCCTCAGCAACCATAACAAATATGCATTAATGGCAATTGAGGCTTCTTCTTTTATTCTTCGAGCAGGAGGTGTGTAGATCAGTAGATTACAGTCCCTTCAGTATTCATGGGCTTAATAAATCAATATATTCTGCGCCAACGTCCCTTAATGCCTCGGTTTAATGATCATTTCATTTAACCTCAGTTCCTGTTAGTCTGCGATGGCAATTGATGAATTTAAATGACCGGCTCATGTTTGTATGCCTCCGCCAACCAGTCAAGTTGCGGTTTGCCCCCGTGCCTGTCCAGACTCATATAATATATGTGGTGAAGACTTTGAAGGAATTTAATAAAGAGTATTTTTTGGCGAAATGGAAATGATCACTATATTGACTTCACTGAGAGACTATTTTCAGAGAAGACTACAGACAACTGATAGAGACCTTCGTATAATGCAACGACAATCACCTGAAATTCAATATCAGCTTGTGGTGGACTATCGTAGGAACAGGAGGCTGTCATACATGATACATCGGGGTCCAAATCAATAAAAAACTGATCAAGACTCACGACACTACAGCCCTCTTCAGGAAGGGACACGGCCGTCGCCGGCGCAAAGGCATTAAAACACACTGACACACTGAAAGACGTGTAAACAATACAGAAATTAAACAATACAACACAATAATAATAGCAGAATTACTTCCTCCAGTTTAAGAAACTTGAGAGCTGTTGTTTGCATTTCTTCCAGGCTGCTCTAGCTGGAGGCACAACAATGGTGATCGGACACATTCTGCCAGAGAAGAATGAGTCTCTGCTGGAAGCCTTCGAGAAGTGCCGCAGCTCGGCGGACCCCAAAGCCTGCTGTGACTACGCTCTGCACGTGGGAGTTACTTGGTGGGGACCCAAGGTACTCCGACACTGTGCCTACCTCTCCACATGATCACTTCTCCACAGTCATTTCTTTTTATGGCAAAACGTTTAGTCTTAAGTGGTTTGCTACGAGCAGCCGTTAATGTTTCTTTATTCTGCTGTACCTCTGTTAGTGACTTCCTACAATTCCCCAGAATGCTTTTTTTGGTCTCCAGAGACCAGATGTTTACATATTTCTTTCAGCCCCTTATATGTGTAGGTGGAAAGATGGAAATGAGTGTGAACAATAGCTGAACAAGAGGTTTTTTTTTTGCAAGGACAAAGCAAAAGTTTGGTCATACTTGTGGTTGAGTTGCATTCTGGTTAATTGAGGCTGGTAGAGACGTTTTTTTGTCTTCTTTTTCTAGCTGTTTAATTGTTAAACACATGACATAAGAGAGTAGCTATTGCGATTTGGTTTAAAAACCTCATGTTTGCAATCGATATTTTACACTGTTCTTATCCACAAGAATGAAATAAATATCTGATTCTTCTCTGTGCAAAGATTCGTGGTTCAGGCTGAGAGACGCTCGAGCTCATTTACACACTTTGCCTTCCTGCAGGTGCGAGCTGAGATGGAGAAGCTGGTGAGGGAGTACGGAGTGAATTCCTTCCAGATGTTCATGGCCTATAAGGACATGTTCATGCTGAGGGACAGCGAGCTCTTCCAGGCTCTGCAGCACTGTAAGGACATCGGAGCTATAGCAAGAGTCCATGCTGAAAATGGGGAGCTGGTGGCAGAGGTGAGGGGGAATCATTCCACTATTCCTTCTCATTCGATATATTACATCTATTGTAGTGTACACAATTGAAATGATCATAAATGCTTGTGTTAAAGAACTTTGTACTAATTTGTTGTATACATAATTAATGGCAATATCTTGTGTTTTCCCAGGGTGCAAAAGAAGCATTGGACCTGGGCATCAGTGGCCCAGAGGGGATTGAAATCAGCAGGCCTGAAGAGGTATTACAGCCAGGTTTACTTTTATTATATGCAGACTCTTGTCATGAGTATTAATATTATTTATGTAATGAATAAATCAAGCCTCTAGCTTAGTATCTCACTAGGATTTCTTACAGTCCTCTGTCTCTTTACAGTTGGAAGCAGAGGCGACTCACAGGGCCATTACCATCGCAAACAGGGTGAGTGAGATCTCTCCAGCACAAATGAAGAAATACATAAATGTGAAAAGACAAGATCAGTTATCCTATATTACATGCTGTGCCTTGTGTGTATGTGTGCTTTCTGTTAGGCCCACTGCCCGATCTACCTTGTCAATGTCTCCAGTATGTCTGCCGGGGATGTAGTAGCTACAGCCAAGATGCAGGGTAAGGCCTATTTTAGTAATTAGTCGTTTTAAATAGTCACTGCTATGTTTTGCTTCAGGTGTTTTAGACTGAAACAAGTCATGGTTTGCTTGCTTAATCTTTTAATCTCTTGCTTGCTTAATCTCTGCCCCTTTTCACTATCATTTAATCCGGTGTGCATCCGTATTGTACTAACCGCAGGTAAAGTGGTCCACGGTGAAACAACCACAGCCCACGCTGTGCTGAACGGTATGCAGTACTACCACCAGGACTGGGCCCATGCCGCCGCCCACGTTACCGTGCCTCCTCTCCGCCTGGACCCCAACACTCCCAGTTACCTAATGAGCCTGCTGGGGAAGTGAGTGGAAAACAAATCTCACATTAAATGTAATATGATGTTTGTGCCGCTGCAGTAATACATGGGGCCTTTCCATCTGACTCTGTTCGGCTGCAGTGACACTCTGAATGTGGTGGGGTCCGACCACCGTCCGTTCACCATCAACCAGAGAGCCATGGGCAAGGATGACTTCACAAAGATCCCCCATGGGCTTCCTGGCATTCAGGATCGCATGAGCGTCATCTGGGAGAAAGGAGTGGTATGTGTAGCTCTTTTGTTCCTGTCTGGCTGCCAGAGAACCTCCACAAACAGGACATCTGGTTCTTTTTCGGTGGTTCGTGATTTTAACTTTAAAAACTAAATAAAACACAAGACGGTAGAGGCGCAAAAATCACGTGCTTCTGGTGCATCAGTTGTTTCAGTCAGATGTTGTGATGTGTGAATTTAAGATCTTTTTATTTTAAAGATTACAAATATAAACTGTGTCTTTGTTATAATTCACAGATTGGAGGGAAGATGGATGAGAATCGCTTCGTTGCAGTCACAAGCTCAAATGCGGCCAAGATCTACAACCTCTACCCCAGGAAAGGAAGGATCATCCCAGGAGCAGATGCTGATGTGGTGGTCTGGGACCCCGAGGGATCCAAGTATGAAACGCGATCCATCCATTCATCGACCAGCATGCCTCACTGCAGCTGTTATCTCGAGTCCCTGAAGCTGATTAACTTTCTGCCTGATTTAACTGGGTCAACGTTTTTTTTATTCCATCTCTGTCTGCAGGACCATTTCTGTGGACAACCAGGTCCAGGGAGGAGATGTAAACCTGTATGAAGGTCTCCGTTGTCATGGCGTTCCCCTGGTCACCATCAGCCGTGGCCGTCTGGTCTATGAGAATGGCATATTCACGTGTGCTGAGGGTTCTGGGAAGTTCTGCCCCCTGAGGACCTTCCCAGATTACCTCTACAAGAAGATGGTTCAGAGGGAAAAGGTATCAGACAGAACTGTCTTTCCTTCGTTCCTTTTTTCTTTCCCTTTTTCCCTCCTCCCTTTCCTTTTTAAGTTTCCTTATTTCCTTTTGTTTTTTCCCATTTCTTTCTTCCTCCTTATCCTCCTTTTTCACCTTCCTTCCAATTACTTCTTAAATTTCCATGTTTCCTTTTTTCCATCTCTCCCTCCTTCTGTCTTTCATCTTTCATTCCCTCTTTTCTTATTGTGTTCTTAAGTGCGTTTTATCGCCTGCTTATTTCTTCTATTCCTTTCTTCCCTCCCTTATTTACCGCCTTCTTTCCTCCGGATTTACATTCTGATGAGCAAAGGAGAGATTTCCACAAAGCACATTTGTCAGAAATACTGGCAGCATTTTGTGTACTTCATCCTCTTGAAATCATTGTTTTATTGCTTTGGTGATCAAAGAGAAATCTTGACCCTGACGTGATTTGAACACGCAACCTTCTGATCTGGAGTCAGACGCGCTACCGTTGCGCCACAGAGTCAGTGATGAATACTTTGGAAGGAGAAAACTCTGGTTCTTCCTCAGATTTAAACCTCAGCCAGAGTTCACCATTGTTGATATTGAGTCTTACAGTCCAGCTGTAGTCCAACAAAGTTGATCTATCGGGTGTCAAAAGAGTACTTCTAGTACTCTGTTCACCCCTACCTCAATAGTTTTTTTTTACCAATAAATTGTTTTCTAGACAAGTTTACAAGTCAGCATAACAAATAATTCATTTTTTTTACCATTCACATCGTTCGTTAATTTGATTGTATTCATTAGTATTTGTAATATATGTGTACATGTGTGTTGACCTACCAGTGCCAGGCTGTGAAAGCTGTGGAACGGGAGCCCTACACAGGTGAAGTTGTGGCGGTGCTCAACTCAGGAAAGAGGGATTTGGGGGTTTCAGATGTGGACACGCCGACGCGCCCCTGCACCCGGCACGGGGGATTGAGGGACCTCCAAGAGTCCAGCTTCAGCCTGTCTGGTAAGAATCAACAGATTCAGTCAGATATCAGTGGACATACACTACCTGGCCTGACGAGGGCGCCATATTTAAAGACATTTGAAGGGCTTCTTTTTCTTTTTTAATTGCTTGGCTTACACATATTCTTTTTTCACATGGAGTTGCCTAGTACATATTTGAAAGTATTTTCTCGTCTTAATTAGAGGGAATTGACGGTAGAGAGCTGACAGGAAATTTGAATGTATTGAAAGGAAAGCCCCTCGAGATGTAGCATCTCATTTACTGTGGGGGATCCTACAATTATAAAACACATACAGACAAAAACAGCATTATGTAACATAACATACACTGCGAATACACAGATACAGACAGCTCGCTCACCCTCGCCCTCAGCTGTTGTATAACAAAACAATTGCAATGACGCGGATAGCAAATCAAAAGCAGTTTGATTGAACATATGCACAATTAAAAGCATAAACAGATTGATTTAAGATGAGAAAACAATGAAGTTATGAAGAAGAGGAAATGAGGGGAGAGATGTGGACCGACATGTAAGGAGGTCTGTGGCTGACTCAAACTATTTATGGTCAGCACCTTAACCCCGAGGCCACCAGGACACCCCCCTAGTACACATTTAGGCCAATGAGGAATCGTTACTAATATATTGGGTATCAAATGTACAACACGTTGGTGCCTTGGGATTCATTTTGCAAGTTGACAGCTTTCAGTGTTTGAGTATAATTCTTCAGCCAACAGAGGGCCAGATTCTATACCATACATGTTATCTCTACACCCAAATACATGCCAGTATTCATAAATGATTTGAGGTACACTGCATTGCTTGAATCTGCCTGGAACATAAGCTGTCTTATGTGATTGAGCTGCACATAGACACCACTAGGACATAGTCGTTCCTCGTGTTTCACTGTTGAACCCATGCACATGATCGCGTTCCCCGCTGCTCCAGGTGCCCAGATCGACGACAAGATTCCAAAGAGATCCTCGGCCAGGATCCTCGCTCCTCCTGGAGGGAGATCCAGCGGGATCTGGTAACCAATCGGGCGGCCGTCACGTGAAGCGGAAGAATGACACCCGAGGGAAACATATGGCCAAGCAAGATGACTTGTTTTTCTTTCTGGAAGCTTAGAATATGTGTGGGGTTAATGGAGTCATGTTTTTATTTTGAACTTGGCACAGTTACATAGGATTGTAAAACGTTAAACTGTATAACATTTGCTGTGATAATATGGGAGTATGTATCAAGGAAAAACTATTGCTAAGTGGTTATAGCTACCAAATTTCGGTCAAATGTTAACCAAATATAAGCAGCAAATAAAAGATGGGTTGCCAATGAATTACTTTGGCTGTTGAATCACGTTAGGGGAAGAATCTTACTGATAGTTTTAGGAATATGAAGGTGAGTCATGGTTTTTATGATGCGATTCTGTTACCTCACTGTAAAATACGATTTTGCACTTGTATCATGTACTATTTAGATGCCTTTTTACATGATTTAATGTCACAAATATCACAAATGTCTTTGTAACGCAAGCCATGGAGAATGAAATGGGATAAGTTATTAGCAGGGTGTGGGCATGACATCAATATGTCAGTTATTAAAAAATATATAGTTGACCAACTGATGAGAAATATCGTAATGCAAGTTAACCTTTTATATGCGTTTGTTTATTTATTATTTATCTTGCATTATTTGTGCGGTTGTCGGTTGATGCTACTGTGTTAGAATCCTTTCCTAAGTAAGAATGAGGTCTTTGTTCAGTAGTTCATCGTTGTCAGATTAGCATTTCAGATCATGTTTACAGCCTTACAGCAGAATAGACTTCTGTTCCACCCCCCCCCCACCAAATGTGAAGGAACCTCTGCTGTGTGTACTGTGCATGGTAGCATAGTTAGAACTACTGTAATAAGCACTTACGTTGCTCATGCTACGCAGCATTCTTTGTGATCGTATCCGTTTTCCACAGAGAGCAAAAAGTCTCACCCAAACTGCCTTTTTCTCACCTGAGAACACTGACAACCACAAACGCATCGTCCCACACTGCCGGCACAGATCATGACATGTTGAGCGCTGTCGTTTCTTTTAGAGTGGGCCCTTTTTACTGGTCTGAAACGGCAGGGTTCAAAAGATACGCTGACTCTAACGCACCACTGAGAAGCAATTAAGAAGGGGAAATGATGCTCCACAGAGCTAACGTTTAACAGCATATATGCGAGTCAATTAATGCCAATACTTGAAGGGATCAAACGCCTTCACACTGTACGCCACTGAAAGCTCAGCATCATAACGGGAAGGCATGCTTGCTACAGAAAAGCACTGATACTACTACTGTATTTTTTATTGTTTGTCTTTAGTTACATATTTGTTCTTGTGAATATTTTTTTATTTAGTCATTGATTTTGTTGTGTTTTTGTCAAAACTTATGCACACAAGATTTTTAACATGTTTAGACTTATGTTCAGAAGAGCATCACGTTACAGTAAAAGTCCTGCATCATTGTTTGTTTGGTTTTTTTGGGACATATTTCACATCTAGAAGCTCCAGTGAATCTTGTTTCGTCTTCCCCCTCCCAAATGTACACTGGTGCTGAACAATGTGTCGTCACATTGACTTCCTTTATCTCTTGTTTCTTCTTGCAGCTCTTTATCACATGATTTGAGTGCAAATAAACCACAATGAAATCTCCAACCGAATCCTGTGTCTGATTACTGACCAGTGGTGGAAAGTACGATTTACTGAAGTACTGCACTTGTACTGTGCTTCAAAACTATAGTTCTATGCTACTTTATACTTCTACTTTACTACATTTCAGAGGGAAATATTATACTTGTTATTTTCTTAGTGTTAGAGCTTAAATGAAATTGATAAGTCAATCAACAGAGAAATAATCTAACTATTTTGATAGTTGATTCATACCTCTCACATGAGGATTTTCTGTTTTATATCATTATAAACTAAATCTCTTTGGGTTAGATGGACATTAGACATCTGAAAACATCCGTTTAGTTGTCATGGATGGATGGATAATACATATTAGCTATAACAAAGTACAGAATCTATGCAATGAAAGTACAAAAATATAATCAATTAAGTATAATACCATTACGATAAAACACAACTAATGAGTGTGTAAAACATCAGTAGCAGCAACAAAAGTCCAGTAAAATGACGGATAAGGAGCCACGTGCATTCTGTGTTGAATTGCATGTGTAAGTAAATATTGCATGTGCTCTGATGACGGCAGCACATGAGTCAACCTATGGATTAATTGATGATGAAAAATAATAGTTAGTTTTAGTCCTAACACGTTTGCTTTAGGAGAGGAACTGAATACTTCTTCCACAACATTTGTTTTTAATCCAGCAGGAGATAAAAACATTTGTTGTGCAGCCTGACCTCAGTAAAACCTCAGTCACCAGCAGGCCTAAAATCCACCCGTCTCTTAGCTGTATCGGGCCAAAGTCCTATTTATAATGAACCTTAAACAGCATGGAGTCAGGCGCATGCGCGGTTGGAGCTGGATTGTTGCAGCCCCTGACAGGGCGGCCCGTTACCAAGCACTGCACCGCGCAGGGTCTGACAACGACGACGGCAACGGGCATTGACATAAGGACTACTGCCAGCGTGATAACAACACAGACACTCCTGAATACAGTGAGTATCAACGCACGAGAGAACCCGCTGACTCGCGCTCGCTTTGTTTGTTTCCCCTGTTTGTGCGCGGTTACGTGTTTGGGAAGCTTGCGTTTTATTCCCATGCAGTGAGGATATTTCCCCGTGCACTGACAGTACGGACTTATCCGGGGAGGCCTGTAGAGGGGGCCGCTTGGAGAGCAGCACCAGCGTTGCGGTGTTTTTTTTGTTGTTGTTGTTGTTGTAAACCGAAAGGCACCCAGCAAACGGACACATTTATTGTTCTCAGCTCGGGCTTGAAATGTCAGACCCCCGCCCATTTATATTTGTTAGACTTGGGTTTTTTTTTTGCACTCAGCATTTTGCTGCAGTCATTATCGGAGCTTTCTCGAAGGCCCGTCAGGTTTTTTTTCTTTTAGAGAATAGATTGAATTCCCTTCCACGCGGTGCAATAATCCATATTTATTAAACCCACTGCAAGGCACGTTAATGTGTCTGAACGCGCATGGTTCTGCCCTGTAAATGGTTTCATTGTTGCTTGTATTGCTCGTGGTTTATTATCATGCCGTTATAAGCTAGCCAAGCCCCACGAGAGACTGCTGCACGCTGCTGAGGGCGCATTCACAATATTATTAGTGGCATCACCAGACAGTGAGCAGTGGTTCACTTGTTTGTGTGGAACTAGTAGACGCGCTATGATATCTCTCTGGCTGTCACCTGCAGACACAGAGGGGCGCGTGACCCTTATAACCAACATTGCACACGTGCATTGATGGTTTATAGACGTGCCGGTGTTAATGTGCAATTTTTTTTACTGCAGGGAATGTCAAGGGGGTTACAGGCCCGCTTTTGACACGAAACCACTGGAAGGTCTTAGCAGGGAAAGCAAAGTGAGCACAGAGAAGGCTGCAGCTGCCAGATGTGCAAAGCTGCTCAGAAACATCAGGATATTTCTGTTTAATCTGCGGAGGATTATGCTCTCAACGCGTCTGTAGATTAAAACTGAAAGTAAAGATGCTTCTCAGGCGCTGTGTTTACAGTCAAAAAAATAAACTGTATTTCCCGAGATCTGTGATCCCAGAGGACAAGGAAAAAGTACCACTCAAAACCTTGAGACGATATGGTAGAACCCTCTAAAAAAGAGGATTTAAAGAGAGACGGGTAGCTTGGGGTGCAGTTGGGAACATGGCAGTTACACTGCATGATATTTGGGAAAGTTTATATAGATTATATTACGGTCTAATACAGCCTACATCTGAAATCCAGGACAATTAGATCAAGAAGTGGGTCCATTAATTAGTCCAGTAGCATAGGGCCAGGAATAAATCTAGAGTTCAAAGAATTAGTCAATCAGTCGATTATTATTATTATTATTATTATTAATATATTATTAAGTCGTTTGTAAAAGTAAAGATTCCAATGCTTTTCTCTTTGTGAGGATCTGTTGTTTTTCTGTCTTACATGATAGAGTAGTAGTTGAAGACATTTAGGAAACTTCAGGAAATAGTAACCAGCAGTTCTCAGTATGTTGTGACATTTTGTCAATGAAATGGTTAAGAGAGTAATAAGCAAATTAATCAACAATAAGAAAAGTTGTTGATCCTAAATAAGTACATCAGTGCTGCATTCTTGCACTGAACGTCTTTTTCCTCTCATCTCCTGTTGTTCGCTCCAGGTTCAGGATGGCAGTGAACGTGTACTCAACATCTGTGTCCATTGACAACCTCAGTCGACATGACATGCTGGCATGGGTCAACGATTCTCTGCACCTCACCTACACTAAGATTGAACAGCTCTGTTCAGGTAAGGCCGGAGTTCAAACACTTCTCAACACATACATCAGAACAAGACAACAGAAAAACTAAATTGTCGTGTCTTTTGTGTTTTCCAGGAGCGACGTATTGCCAGTTCATGGACATGTTGTTTCCAGGTTGTATCCTTCTGAAGAAGGTCAAATTTCAAGCCAAGCTGGAGCATGAATCTATACACAACTTCAAAGTTCTTCAGGCAGCTTTTAAAAGGATGAGTGTTGACAAAGTCAGAATACTTTTTATCATATTATTAATTATTTAAGATGATTAATCATAAAAATCACGTCGAGCTATTGAAGCATTTCCTGTTTCCATCCTCCAGATAATTCCGGTAGAAAAGCTTGTAAAAGGGAAGTTCCAGGACAACTTTGAATTCGTGCAGTGGTTCAAGAAGTTCTTCGACGCCAACTACGACGGGAAGGAGTACGACCCTTTGATATCCAGACAGGGGCAGGACGTGTCCCCCGCCCCCAACCCAGGTGATCACTTTATCCACAAACCAAAGAGAAACACAGGTAAACCAAACAGTCTCCGCCTCTGCTGCACGGTCTTGCTGAGCTTTGGATGGCTCCGAAAGCGCTCCCTGCAAGCAAGTGGTGCGAGCCGCACGATTCACAGACCGACCGCTGTTCTTCCTAGATCCATCTCACTGCCCAGTATTCACAAGCAACACGACGCCGAGTAGGTACGGCCGAGTCACTGGTGGGATCGCAGCGATCACCTCAGTGACTCGTGGGATGCAGCGTCAGTGAAAACCGGCCAATTCTAATTGATCATGAACCGGCGGCGCCAGAAGGCCGACAGAAATGTCAGCGGCAACCAGGTCTTGTCCGGTGTCCTGCATCAAGCAGCTGATGCAACACCGCGTGCAGCTCCATCTCTCTCTGAAAGCTGGACAGATAAACTAGAAGAGTTTGTCTTATTTCACTAACCAGAGCAACGTCAGCCTGACCAGCCTTGCTATGTCTCTGTGAAAGCTTTTCGCTTGAAAATCATGGCGAACAATCATTAATTTGACGTGTAGTGTGTCATGAGCCTGCTTTGTGACTTTGTCACTGGTAAGCAGTGTGGTTGTACATTTATTTTTTTTCCAGTTTCCAAACTGTGATAATGCGTGTTGGCATGTTTTGAGTTCAACGCCTCTGCTGAAGCACTTATAGAGGTTTTGGCAGGATGCAGGATTTTTTTCTGTTTTAAAGATTTTGACTCAAATAAGCGTGACATTCAACCATTTAAATATTTTTCTAATTTGGCTTTTTAAAATCTGGCAATCCAAATTTGTGTCTTTTATTGTGTTGTAAAGCAATTTGAAATCCTTTCACAAAAAAATGGCATATCAAAGGCACAAGATTATGCTGTACGCTGATAACATCAGCTCTCTATAATGTGCTATATCCATCGCCACAGTTGCTACAAAGCCAACAATAATGCAGTAAATCCATTTCAATTCAAATGATTAACATCTCTGATCATCTCTGACCCCGCCAGGACCACAGAGGACATCTCCAACAGTTCCCAAAAACATACCAACACCACAGCGGGTCCAACACAACACTCCAGCCATGAGGAAGAATCCATCTTTGTCTAGAAACGGGGGCAGTGATGCTGAGATCATGGAGCTAAATCAACAGGTAGACAACGGGAGAACTCTCAAACCATCTCATGTCCGTGGACTCTCTCTAGGTTCACACGCACTGAAAGCATTTTAAGTGCTGCGTTAACAGCAATAGCTTCACAGACATGTTGACGTGTTACAGTACTAAAAGCATGTGCAAATGGTACACCTGTGCTTCTCTTTAATGACAAGTCAAAATGTCGTTCGCCTTTAATGTTAAAGTTCAAAATGATATTCCTGTGAGAATACATTCCTGTCAATTTTCGTTCTTTCCTTTCTCAGTTGATGGAGTTGAAGTTGACTGTGGACGGACTAGAGAAGGAGCGAGACTTCTACTTCAGCAAACTACGGGACATCGAGCTGATCTGCCAGGAACACGAGAGCGAAAACAACACCGTCCTCAGCAGTATAATCAACATTCTCTACGCAACAGAGGTATCTGTCCTTTATCAGCAACTAATGCTGGCTGCACTGCACCATTTCGATCTGCATGTGAGAGAAAGCTCAACTTCAGACTTCTGTTCCAGTAGTAAATAAACCTCATTCAAAACCCCAAAAGTTCTAGCCTTGGAACATAGCCGTACTTAACAGCATGCCATGTGGCTCACTCCATACATTCAGATGAGATTGGTAATTAAAAACAAATACATGTATTATTTATTCAATATTTCTGTTTTTAGACGCCTTAAACAAACATTATTTCCCATAAGTCCTAGAGAATAGGGATGGGCATTTTAAGCAAAAAAATACCAATGGAAAATCACTGGATCATTGATTAGTCGTAGATCTCTATAGAAGACATTAGTTATCTGTTTTTATGTCCTCTTTGATCAGGATACTTTGTGGGGGGGGGGGGCTAACGGGAGATACAAAACAGCAGCAAAACTGAATAATATTTTTTTCCCCCCCCGTCTCTCAGGATGGCTTTGCACCTCCGGAGGATGAAGACCTTGATGAACAAGCTCACCTGGACCAGGATGAATACTGAGCCCTTCATCCCCCCCAACATCTCCATCATCCCTTTCCTTTTCTTTTTGGCCTGGACCAGGATGAATACTGAGCCCTTCATCCCCCCCAACATCTCCATCATCCCTTTCCTTTTCTTTTTGCCCTCATTTGGTTTCTACTCTGTCTGCACGCTCTCTATAAATACTCACCATTATCCCTGCTCTCCCTCAGTCTTTTCTTTTCTTTCTCATATGTATATCTGTTCGTAACCTCCCCCTCCCATCCGCCCTCTGACCGTCTACACATTGTACACAACTACTCTGCACCATCATCTGCTCCTCCTCCCTGCCTCCACTTACAACAGTAACAATAACAGTAATGTGCGACATATCCCAGTTATTTCAGCATGAGTAACGGAGAGAGAAAGAAATGTGCCAAGCCTGGCGCGGAGGTTGTTATGGCAGTGAGTTTTAAGTCTGTAAATATTGCCGACATTGTGATATTCTGAGAGAACAATGTCTTCGCTTGTTATGGAGTTATTTATTTGATTAACTTGGCGCGCTGTGATACTTCTATTAGAGCACAACGCTGCTCCAATGTGCCATCTGGACACTCCCAGAGCTACTAAAACTGTAACAAAGGTGACCTTTTAATAACAATTTCTTATTTATTTAACTTATATTTCATTTAGATTAACTACCTGTAGCAAAATTGGTGCAAAACCTACTGTACGTGAATTGAAAGCTGAGGCCATGTGTGTTGTTTCAGTTATGGTTTGTGCTTGAGTCAGCATCAAGCTTTTATTTTCTGTTATGGTGGGTTCATGGCATGTAGAAACGCTGAAGGAAATTCTCTGGTGTATTGACTCAAGGCGTACGATCAGTGCTCTGTGATTATTCATTAGTCATCAGCAACATATCTGAGCATGAGAATGTGAACGAGTGATATTTTGTATCTGTACTTGGTGTGGGGACTTTGTCTGATGTCGCACGATCCTGGTTCAATGCCGTTGTATCTTTTAGGCCGACGTGCAGAAGTTTGAAATTTAGAGGTGGAAAGCCACCTGCAGACTGACAACATGGTTTTAGATTGTAGCAGTTATAATGTTTTATTCTAAAATATAAAGGGAGCCTGACACTGAATTAATACGGATACATTTTTCACACGACAAGCTTGCTATATTTTTCCTGCTAACCATACTGTGTTTAGACTTTTAATTTGCTGTTAAGGGTTGCCCAGGGTATATGAGCTGTAGTTTGAAAGAAAGTCAGTATTAAGAAATCACAAGCAGCCAGTTAAAATAAGGAAGTCTCCTTGGTCTTCCTCCCTGTTTTTTTTTACTTGCAAACTGGCTGAAGTCTGCTCTGGAACTTGCATTCATCGACCATGTAAACATCTACTGAACACTCATCTTTTGAGTTTTGAATAAATAAACGGTTGTGAAATGAATGGTGGTGGTTTTTTTTAATGAGAATGGATTTGAAATGCGAGCTCACATTGGCCACACGTTCACTTCATGAACTCTACAAAGTGTAGGGTTAGCTAACTGTACACGTCAGTGCTCCACACTAAAGGCTATGTAAATCTATCACAAACTAGAAACATTTGTAGAGGAATATTAACCGGGTGGTCACCTAATGCTCACATCGGGGGATTAGCTCAGATGGTAGAGCGCTCGCTTAGCATGCGAGAAGTAGCGGGATCGATGCCCGCATCCTCCAAACCTTTTCCAGCTCGACTACTGCCCTTGGATAAATAGCTTTACAACTAACATCTCCAAACACTATGCAACCATCCTTCCTTTTCTAACTAGCTGGACGTTTCCTAACGCGGAAAGAGCTCAGTTTAAGAAAAAGAGAGCTATCCTTCCGCGTTAACGGACTACTTCGTCAAGTCCGTTGAAAGTGTATGGTTACTTACAAGGAGCACGTGCTTACAAATGCCAGCCTTTGACCAATTAATAGCATATAAATCGTATTTTGTACTCTGACGTCTTGAAAATGCAGAAATCCGATTAATTATATGCTACATGTATAAAACCAGCAGTCCAATGGAACCAAGGTTCCATTGAGGACCAGCAGGTGACAGCACAACATCAAGTAATGTGTTGTAGCGGCTGCGAGAGGGGGCAGTGACAGTTGCACCAACACCCTTTGCAACACCGTCCTATTAGGAAGTAATGTGCACCGTGTTGCATTGTGTAATGTGTGCTCACGAGTTTGTTGTGTCGGCGGGGATATTAGCGGTGGCTCAAATGACTCAACTCAAAGATCGTCAACTTACCTGCACCGTTCTCACCTTTCTATTTCCGACTGCCAATCAACCGTGTTACGTCATCTATTTTCACAGCGCAATCATCTCACACGCAAAATGTTGACGTGTTGCGCTCGTTAAGATGCTGGAGGAGGTTCGAATCCCATGCTCACCAGGTACAACTTTGCTATACTGCACTGCTTATTGATTACATGATAGTCAATTTTAACCCCATATTAACACTATAGACCCAACCCTAACCTCCGCCCCCCATGGTAATATTATTTATTCACTTGAGAAGACTGAGAATTTTTTTAAATAGTAAGCAATAATTATCTTGTTTGTTTGTTTGCAATGCACTCTGCTGTTGTAATCCTGCAACTTTCCCCGCTGTGGGACTAATACAGGATTATCTTATTTTATCTTATCTTTAATAAGAAAATGTCATGTGTCAAAGCTCTTTAAAGATGAGAAAAACTGGAGAGCTTTAACGGCCATGTGTACAGATTACCGGACAGATTATGTTAAGATTAGAAACATTAAGTAGTTGTCAATTTATTCACAAATTCAAAAGTCAGACAAATAAACTGTTGAGTTCACAATAAATCAACACAAAGGTGACAGCCTTACCTTGTAACAGCAGCAACCACACCAACCGAAAGAATATCAATAATAGTAATAATAATATTGTAAACCAGATAAAATCAATATGAGAATACGCTTGCCTTATTGCGTACTGTAGCCATTCTGATGCTTATAATCTAAAACGTGTTGTCTTTTGTCAAATGGCAACAAAGAAAAATGAAGAACAGGCGAGAAACTTACAAGTGAAGTGATTTCTTTGAGTGTGAAATAGTGAAATCCAGCAGATATCTCAAACCCCCAACATTTTCTTCACCATGTAACCAGGCATGTTGTAGAGGAAAAGAGCCAAGATGGCCAGCAGCAGGAGAGCAGAGATGATCTTGATGCTCAGCCACATGTACTGGTCACAAATCAGGTGTTTTACAGCTTTGAAAGGGATGAGGAACCAGAGGAGGGCGATGTCTGGACGGCTGGTATGGAGCACAGAGACAAACAGTGTGTTGGAAGACATTCAAAATGTTAACCATTGGTTCCAAATGCAATGTGTGTATCATAAGTGGGGCAATAACAAAGCATTGATCTAACCTGAGGTCATCATCACTTCCTCTCAACCAGCTTTGAAACATTTCAAGGGCTTTCCTTATTGCAGTCTTTTAATATGTTTTTAGTTGTTAAGAAAATCTCACACAGTAATTTAGTTTTCTCTAGATATTTTTGATGAAATAAAGCTAACGTTGGAACGGTAACAAGGACCACAATAGTCTGTTGAAGTAGTGTTGTGAGAACACGTCTTAGTTTTTTACCTTAGACTTCTAAAGAGATGATAGTCATCGCTTTCAAGAGCACCAGGACAGAGGGATTGGTTGGATGTATTCATATTGAAATGAAGACAAGGTTACAATCATTTCACCTCGACAGTAATGTAACTGTTTGAGCAGTTACTTTTACTTGGGTAGTTTAAAGAAATGAAAGCATGGTTCCACTTGATTCTGTGATGAATTGCATATGACAGACCGAGCCACGCATATAATATTTATAATTACGAATAACAAATATTTAGTTTTCAAAAACATTTACACATCCATACCACACAAAGACACATATATACAAGTGACAGCACAACCAGAAAATTGAAGTTCACGGGTCAATTTATGCACAAATTTGAAATATCATACATAGACGCATTGACAGAACAGGACAAGAAACTCTGAACTCCAACACAAGCTCCAACACAAGCCAAGTCATAGGTGAGCAATGGACATTGAATGAATTGAATGGGAATAAAAGAAACCACAGTTGAAGACACGAGAAAAACCTGCAGATATCACACCAACAGTAGCAATATGTTGACATGTATTAGACTACATGAATAACCAATGATGGATGCACAAAAGATGTATAATTAGCTATCGATATAGTGCAGACATCTAGTATTTAAGTAAGTAATTAGCAAAACGTTCACAAAAACAATTCTAATTGTCACTGAATGCCCACCCTTTGAAAAACGTTATTTTCATCCTTTGGTTTTAACTCAAGCCCCCAACATTTTCTTCACCATGTAACCAGGCATGTTGTAGAGGAAAAGAGCCAAGATGGCCAGCAGCAGGAGAGCAGCGAGGATCTTGATGGTCAGCCACCTGTACTGGTTACAAATCAGGTTTTTCGCAGCTTTGAAAGGGATGAGGAACCAGAGGAGGGCGATGTCTGGACGGCTGAAGGGGCACAGAAACGTAAACACCATTACAGAATGCCAAAGACAATCAACAATATAAAATACACAGAAGGAGGTTCATACAAAGCACTGATTTGACCTGAAAACCTGCTTCAGGGACGATATTCCTTTTGGAAGTTGGCTGACAAGAAAACATTTGATGTGTTTGAGCTAATCATTCCTCTTGTCCATACTTACCTCATCTATTTAAATATGCTTTCAACCTGTGACGCTAGTTGTGTACGTTTTTGTTTTTGTTCCTTACTGTTATATTATCTCTTTTGTTCATATTGTAATTGCTTTTTTTGTTTGTTTTTACCATGTACAGTGCCTGCGAGTACCTTTTAAAGTGCTATACAAAATAAATGTATTATTATTATTATACTGTTCATAAAGAGGTCGCTGAAAACAAATCCCTTCATGGTGACTCTCTTGTACAAACTTCAGGACAAAACCAAGTCTTCATTTCATACAGAAATGTTCTAATGTTCAGTTGAAGCTAATATGAGGCCGTAGTTAAGACAAAGTGAGTGGATATCTTCCAAAAATCCAGTTAACTATAAGACCGCTATGCTAAGCATGAATGTACAGTTTGGCAAAACAAAAAGAGTACATTTTAAACTAAAAATACAAACTTTGGAAGACAACTACTTTGACTAGGGTGCATAAACTGAACTTGTAATTTGAAAACTTATTCCAAACACGCTTCATATGCGTCTAAATATGTCGTATTTGTGCAGGTTTATCAGCTGCAAAAGCCTCTTTAATAAGGTACTTTTTGTCACCTGATAGCCGAGAGTCAAATCCTGATTAATGTCTGATATTTTTAATATCAAAAATGACGTGGAACCAATGATATCATTGGTTCCATTTAGCTTTTAAAATGCTGTGATTGAATGGAAACCGGAGATAGAAAGCAGGAAAAGAGAGAGAGAGAGTTGGAAGCCGTTCGGTTAGTGAAATTGCTGGAAACTTCTGCAGAGATGTCTGTCTCAAGCTCCCAGCATTTTCTTGACCGTGTAACCAGGCATGCTGTAGAGGAAAAGAGCCAGCATGGCCCGCAGCAGGAGAGCAGAGACAATCTTGAGGGCCAGGCCACTTGTACTGATTGCAGACCAAGTGTTTTATGGCCTTGAAGGGAGTGAGCAGCCACAGGAGGCTGGTGTCTGGACGGCTAGAAGGACAAAACACAGATGTTCAGTAATAAACACTTAACGCATTGTAGACTATTATTGTTGCTCTCTTCCTAAAACAAATTTAAATATAGCTGACATTACTGGAACTAGGACAGAGAAACGATTTACAGTATTGTGAGAACTTAAAGGTGATTCTAAGTAGAAATACACAAACGATATCAAGAAACAGCAACTTACCATGTAAAGAAAGAAGATCCTAGGTATAAGTCCAGAACTCGGTTGAAGTAAATTCATAAAAATGTCTATCCTCATTTCAGGAAATTGCTTACATTGCTAATATTATTTCAATAGTTTAAAAAATGTTTATGCTTGTTTTATGTTTGAGAATTCACGTTGTTGTTATGACGGATTTATCTTTTTATTTATTCCTGTATTTATTGTAATTTTATTTATAGTACTTTTTATTTCTGGCCTGTTTTTGGAGTTTTTAGTTAAGCTGGACTTGCAGCAGCACAAATGCAAGGGTACGTATTCCCTTGCATTTGTGTGGCTGTGTGTATACGGGGAGGATGAAAAGATAGCAAAGCCATAGAATAAGATGAACAATGTAATTGAGAAACATGGATCAAAAGAGTGGTCAGTAATACAAATGTGGACAGTGGGGTGACAACAGAACATCCTTCATACTTGGGTTTCTCCAGTGGCTCTGGTTCGTTGCGTCCTTCACCAACTGGGCTTCTCTCGGCCTCCTCTGCTGTCAGGAG